TTTACCTATACTATGCTTCCTTCTCTCTCTCTCTCTCTCTCTCTCTCTCTCTCTTTCTATCTCCGTATTCGACCTTTCTATGTCCCTTCCCTCTTCATCCAACTCTCTTTCATATCTACTCCGTTAAGTCGTTGGATTTAGGATTTAATTGGATCTAGAGAAATTAATTTTGGCTTAACTTTTTAAAAATGAAATCATATAATTTGTTCTTTGGAATATTTCTTATTAATTTTGTGATAATAAAGTAATTAACGCTTTCTTATACCTTTCCTAATAATTTTCGCTTTAAAATGCGTATCTGTCAATGTTGGAACCTTTGGCGGATGTTTAACGATCTGTATCGATCGATTTCATAATGGCGTAACGAGAACACAAAAATGATATATAAGATTGTTTGATTGAGTGACGAGGATAATGGCACGTGTATTATAAACGTTTAATATAAATTTTTTATCACTGGTCGATAAAGATTTTCTATCGAAGCGTAGATATTGGATGATTCGATCAAACTTAACTTAACTCAACTTTTTCCACGTGAAACTTCCATTTGTCGAATACCGCTTGTATCCAATTAAATAACAAACAGATACATATTGCACAAAGTATATAAGAGATTAAAAATCACAATTCAACCAACTGCGATTTTCGTAAAGGGAAGAACGAAATTCGATCGACGATTCCCCCCGCGACGTCTTTCCGTAGCATTAAATAAACGTTAAAGCACCGTACACAAAGCGTGCAGGGGAAGAAGAAGAACTCTCTATCCATAAAGTGCGAGCCCGATATGGAAACGCGGCGCGTTGCGTTAAACTGTCTGCGAGTTTTCGATTTACGACGTGACGGGATCGAAGTTTATACAAGTATTGGCTTTAAGAGGCGATCGTTTTTCCGCGGCCGGCCCTTTTTACTCGACCCCTCCCCTCCCCTCTCTTCTATACACGTCGGATCCTATTTGCATAAGTGGGTAGAATAATGGCCGGTACAGTGTTGCGCATACAGGATTAATGCACCACCACTCTTTTGCCAGTGTTTTGGAAGGGGAATTGAAAAACACGACCGTGAAAGGTCGTATTATTTAAATGAAAGATTCTTCCCCCTCGTCGGAGATGGTTTTTTATTGCGATAGAATTTTCGTGCTGCGCGAGCTTTCAACGTGGAGAAAGGGGGGGGAGGGGGAGGCTTCTAATATTATGTTACGAAGGAAAAATCGATGTGCGCGGTCGGGTAAATTGCTACTGACATTGGCAAAGGCCAATTAAATCGAGTGGCCTGGGGGTTATTTTCCACTCGTACCTGTAATCCGTGCGTGAATATTTTATAGAATGTCGCATTATGTCGGCGAACGATTTCGAGAGAAAGAGGAGTTTTTCCTTCGATAGATTTTATTTTTCTCTTATTTTAGATTCCATTGTGTCAATTAGAGATTGAACTATTAATTTAAATATATGAATGATGAGTGTTTGATTTTTGAAAAATTAAATAAAAAAAAAAAAGTTTGTCGAGAAATGGATCGATTTATCGGTTTATCAGCCTCTCAATGACTCTTGGTATCGAATATATGAATATATTCAATTTTGAAATATATGAATGTATTGAAGTATTTAATGAGTTTTATTCGAGGAATGATACAATTAGCAAATCTAAATTACAAATGAATATATTTACCTTACATTTACAACTTCTACGTTTAATTAAATTCTTACGATATCTTTTAAATTTTATTTTCTAATTATTATTATTATTACTATTGTACAAACGTTACTTTTAAAACAACTTCACAAGATTTCTTTCTTAAAAATCACGTTAATAATAACGAAATTACGTTTCACTTGCAACATTTCAACAACAGGTATTTTGTAAAAGTATTTGGACAGAGGAGGCGATTCTTCTTTTAAAAATTTACAAATTGCCGAGCATCAAAATCGTGTACGCGTTTTCTTACCTCAAAGCAACTCCAGTCCATCCCGCGCCTTTATATAAACGATACATTCCGTCTTGTCCTCTATACATAAAAAAGATTCCAAGATTGCTCCAGTGCACAAAAATTCCACCGAAATCGAAGCGCTTGTTCAATTAATAACACGCGTTTCCTTTATAATCAAGCAAATATATATCCAGTATATTACCTGCAACTTTCACCCATTCACCTTACCCTTCGCACGGTTTGACGCTTAATTAAGAAATTCTTCTGAAAATTATTAAATTGTTTCGCATACGGGCGGTCAGGTAACGCGAGATGAAACGGCGTCACACTCGTTCGCTCGAACGCCTCTCCAACTTCCGTCAACCGAAGACAAGTTAAGCGCAAGGACGTCAGGTATTTTCTCTCCCCGCCCGTACTTTTCTCATCCTCGTTTAACCCTAAACATTCAACGGCCGCGGGCCAAAACTTTCCTGAAAGTTCAATGAAATTAACTCTGCTTTGCATACACTTAATAGCCATCTACGAACGTGGTGGTCTCTCTCTCTCTTTCTGATGATTTGCGAACGGATTTCCTCGAGAACAACGAATTTCCTTCATTCCCGATGGCATGTGTTGACGTCCCTTCCTTGACAAGTTGATTAAACTCCTCGAATTCCCTGTCATTTTAATTGATTCGGTCGAATTCCATTTATCATTGTATTTATATACGAACGGTGTGTAATTCGTGTGAATTTATTACGCATGGTGGTATCGTTTTTATCGCAGGAAAATGTATTCAATGCTCGATGAAATGAAAAGCGAGTAGAAGGAAAGGGGAGAATTCGATTTAAAAATTTAAATAATGTAGAAAAGTTGTCCGATGTAGAATTATATGTGGAAAAATTTTGGAAGGGAAGAAGCATTTTCTTAGAAAAAGTTTTTACGTTTTGAAACGAGTCTATGGTCTATGGTCGGTTTGAAAATCAACAATTTTTCAGCGAAAATTTAGTACTGCTTTAATTTTATATGCTGGTGTGATTTAATTTATAAAATGGACTTTTTATAAACAAATTAAAAATTTCTTTTCTATTATACTGATGAAAATAATTGGCCGTGTATAGTTTGTTCGATAATATAATTAATATGAAATAAAAGGAATATAATGAAATAAAAAATCACTCATAAAATCTGTTCTACAGTTGCAATGATAATGATATTAAATATATATATAAACGAATTGTAATTACATTGAATTCAAACATTTCGTTTTTATCAAAAGATAAAATTTCTTGTTAATTTCTAATTCTTCCTAAAATGTATTCAACTCGTGTTAAATTATCACTTTCTAATTAAAAATGGAAATCATTAAAGAACAATTTTTCTCTTTTTTTCTCGGTAAAAAATGACAAAATTATTTCGATTGATATTAAAACAAATGAACATGTAAAACATTAATGTGTATGTATACGCGTGTGTAATTTAGCCAGCTCTGTTGCAATTAATTGGTTTCGTGCAGTATCGAAATCATATTAAACGAAACATAGAACTATTACAAATCAGGGAAAATGTCGAAAATGTCAACGAAAACAGTGTACAATGAAAACATTCATTCTATATTGTCGACGATTGTCCAATTTTATTAAATCGTGGTGTTATATTGTCATATTATAAAAATGTCGTGTTACAGGAAATTGTCGTAATTTTTGCATCATGTTGAACATCGAGACCGTGTTCTCATTATCATACGTTATATTGTATCATTAAAATTATGCATTCATAGCATGATATAATTTTTCTATACAGATATGGGAAAAATTTTAAAGATATATTTTCAATAAATATTTCGAGCGCAAGAATATCTATAAATACTTAATACATTTTGGAAAAATAAATACTTTTTAGAATAGTGAATTTGAAAATATTTCCACGACCACGCGTTTCTTTTTTGCTTCATTTATTCTATTACACAATTAAACAATTCCGCATAAGAGCGAACGCTTATATAACAAGTTGAAACTATTATACAACATTACGAGATTAATCATGGTGGAAATTGCTGTAGATATCAGATGGATAAAACGGACCAGTTTTCCATTCTTTTCTCCAATATTCATAGTTTTAAGATTTACGTAACTAATATCGTATTTTGAGAGCTTTGATTTGCATTGAATATTTTTATCGAATAATTTCCACGAAATTTACAACGAAACTTATGAAGGTCTTAAAAAGTTTATTCACGTGTATGAATAATTATTTACAATCTCTGTATAAAATCTGCGTTTTCATAATATTCAATTAAATCTAAGATAATTCCGGTGCGCTCGATCTAATTTCTTCTTTTTCTCTTTTCTCGTTACAGGTAAGTCATTTATTTATTTCAAACGGTGATTACGGTTCGTCTTTTGTGGCTCGAGAATTCCGTGATTACGAGCAGATGAGCGTGTAATAAAGAAGTTTAATGACCCCTCTACGTGTCGCTTGTATGTCGGTGTTAATGTCCCATATCCTGAGAACTCGTCATTTCTTACATCAAGGAACTCCAGTTGTCCAGGTATTTAAACCAATTTCGATCAATAATCATACAATGATGTAGATATAATTTACAATTAAATCCTAATTAAATTAAAAATTGTATTATTATGCATTGCATAAAGTCATCAATAATTATAAATTTTATGATATTCATATTATACATTATTATAATACAATTATTTATTTTTCTTAGCAATAAGACGTCAGAATTATATTTAATTACTAAAAATTAACTAAACTAAAAATTTTATTTAAATATTTCCAAAAATTATAATTATACTTAATCTAATCTAAACTAATATCTTATATTCTAATACATTTACGAGATTTTTTATTCGAAGAATTACTTTTACTTACTTTTATATTTCTCGGTGGTGGGATCCTAGATCTATTACCAAAGACCACTGCCGTTTCTAATCTTGTACTTGCCACGTTATACTTGATATCTTTCCTCAACTCTCGTATCCTTCTTAACGATTCGATCCTTGATGGTGAATCTCGTCCCAAAATCTGTTCCCTCATTTTCCTTCTTATTTCTCGTTTATGGCGCCTTGCAGTCTGTTTTAAAATTTTATCGGATTTGCAGACTTGCAGCCATTTTCGCGATACTTGAGCAGCACACAGTAAAGATTCCGCATCCAATTTGCGAAGAATCAACTGTGATACTTCTAATGGCAATTCAAAAATGAGATCCACTTTAGTGGGCTCCAGTATGCCAATAGTTTGTAGGAAACTCTTGAAGAATTCCATGTTGCTCTTATGAACGCAAATTCAAGATTGATAATTTTTCGAAAAAATTCCTCGTTTATATACCCTTTTGACCGAGAAAGGGGCGGGGCCTCGGTTCGGTTCGACCAATCACGTTCGCCCACGTAGCATTATCTGTACATAAGCATTTACATAGGAAAACTCATCATATAAATTTGTATATAATTCTTTTATATATTAAATCAAAATTAAAAGTAATTTTGATTCTTGAATGGTACATGGTAATAAGTAAAAATATTTATAATTTCGTTATATTGGATATAATATTCATAGTAGATTACTAGCTCGAAATATTTACATTTAATAAAAACTAATCCAAACCCTTTATTTTTTTTTTTTGTCATGCTAATTCAATACTCGTTTCTTAGTTAAACATGCAGAAAAAATTGAATATTTATTGTTAAATATGTAACTTGTCAAATGTTGAATCATCAATTAATTGATTAATTAAATTGTCTTATTTTAAAATAGATTATTATTGACACAAAACGTTTTGTCTAGAGATCTATTTATAATCATACGTGTGTATATTAGAACTATGCAGAGAAAGTTGACATAATGTCATTCAAATTATTCATAAACTTTTTGTATAAGAATTGTATAAAAGAAGATATAATTTCATGTTTCTAATTCTTTTTTTTTTTATAAAATGACATACAAAATACATTATTATGTTTGAAATAATTTCTATTTTTCTTTGATTATTAAACTTTTAAAATAATAATGAATTTATATTTTTCTATAATAAACAGATAAATTCTATTATATACATATAGATAATCATACATAAATGTTAATATATAGTTGTTTTTTAATTTTATCATTTCGAATATTATTTATTATAAAAAAATTAGAAATTATCCAAAATATTACATACATGTGATTAGTAATACGAATAGTACTGAAATAATACCAGAATAACAGACCAGAAAAACAGAAAAAGAAATGTTGACCATTGAAGATCTCTTGTCGATTTCTTCGCTAATGTATGTATGGGAACCAAAAGAGGAAAACATTTCTTACGAGTTAGAGAAAGTATTCGTGTTTTTGTTTTTTTTATATATCTATATAACGTTTCTAGAAACATATGCGTATCTTAAAAAGTTCCAAGAATTAACGGAATAACTTTGTACTGTTCTATTTTGTGTTCTTCAAAGCTTTTTTTCTCCTAAAATATTTCCTTGATATTCGTGTATCCATTATATGTTCGCATACAATGTTATTATTACTATTTTCTTGGAATATAAATTTACTATATACATAAATGTACCTTTTATTTTAAACTTTTATTTTTAGATTATTGATATAAAAAATTGTTAGAATTTAATTAAAAATTCATTTCTTTAAAACTGGAAATTTTTCATTGAAAATAAACCATCAGAAAATCTGTTATTATAGAGATAATTTACAGGCACAACTACTTATTTATTATGGTTTACTTAACATAGTTTTCACCATTGAAAGTATTCCCTTTGATCACTTTTTCATTGATTTTCTATATATGACAAAATTCTGTATTCGTGCCACAGTTAATTTTAAATTCCACTACTTCACACTTGAATATCTAGTGAGTCAGATAACATTACAGGATAATTCTCTCGCCAGTGAAATATAATATCGTTCAAACGCGATGGCGATAATCCAATGTTTCCATATGATCTGTAAACATTATGAAATGTCTTCGTTGTCGCGTAGTTTCGACTTCAGCCTCTTCAACCTTGACGGATCAGTGTATACGAAAACAGGGTTATCGCCAAGTATTTAGGCGGTGATGCGTTTAAATTACTGTTTGTTCTAAGTTGCCACTGGCAGCAGAGAATTATCTTGTAATTTTAGTCCAAACTTTACGTAGAAATATTCCGTCGAGGAAAATTTTCTAAATATTCCAGAAATTGTTTTTGCATCACAGATATTTGAATATCTTTAATTTGGGATTATAGCTATTATTTTTAATTAATATTTTTAGATAACAAATCGTTGAAAATGGAATGGAGATATTAGATTCTTAAAATTTACGTGAACAGTAACTGAGTTGCATTTATTATCGTCATCTCGATCGAACTACAATCGTTTCGCAATCGCCGTTGAACTTATAAAGCATCAGTAATCAACATTCGTTTTTAAATTATAACGTAGCAAGTTGTATCATTTTATTTCAAATTAAAAATAAATAAAATATAAAAAGTGATGATCGAATCTAGAAGTAAAAACTAAATATAAAAATATTTGTCGAATAAATTATAAGAAATTTAAATTTGCATCAGATGAAGCGAGACAAAATACGAAGATATCTCATTTTAATTTTCTTTCGTTTAACGTAAACTTTAATTAATCTATAATTCAATAAATAAATTTCAACCATAAATTTTTGCATACCAATTTTTGTGTTAATTTTCCAGATTACTCGATATAGTAATTATATAAAATAAAATATTATATGAATATTATCATTGCCTTTTTGATTGATATTTAAACATTTTTTGCTACACCTATTCACGTTCGTTCAATTCTTCCCCCCTCCCCCCTTTTTTTTATTTTTCATAAAACTTTCGTCACGAGTTATTGTCTTCGTGCATTCTAGAGCGAAGGACCGCCGGGAAATCAAATCCATCTGTGATAATTCGTCGATATTGATTAAACGGTACGATTGTACATATATATATATTCCTCAGTGGAACGAGACCTGTATTGAAACACAGGTCAATTGGTATACACACACGTCTATATTCCATGGCGTATCGTTATTCTATTCACAATTTACAATGTCTTTACCATCCTCCTCTATTCGATAGCCATATTATACAGAAAGTCTGATTCCGTGTCGTTGCATCCATTAAGATATTGCTCACTCGCTAGTAGTTTATGGATAACCAATTTTCGACTCACTTTTAAAGCTATGTTGAAACTTGAACAATTTTACGTGCGGATTTTTTTTTTTCTCGAAAAATTTCGAGTTGGATTATATAATATTTTATAATATTTCGAATTTATTAATTTATTAAGAATATGGTGAAGCGATATTTGCAAGATGTAAACAGACAACTGCTCTGATTTCTTTGCTATAATTAAATTGATATGTATAAATTCTTTCTTATCGTTGAGTGAGGTCATAGATCTGCATCATGCAAATTTCCTTTGTCCCGAAGAGCTGATGTCACTATGACCTACTTTTCTTTTGATATGTGCATATAAAAGCGCTAATCATAATATTATCCATCGTTTTCAATAATCCTTTGTCAGGAATTCCAAGGTCCTTTATCTACGAAAACTTGATCTTGCTTCGTGTAAAAAAAAAATCTAAAATACGCAGGATTCGGTTGAATAATATGTGCAATCGGGTACAGAATGATTTCTTACGAAAAAATAAGAAAAAGAAATGCGAAAGAAAATTTTCTCTTCCAAGATTTCGTTTTCGAGGAAATCAAAATTTTAGAATTTTGCAAATTTTTCGAGCACGTGAAAATAGGATTAATTTTATCTCGTTTAAAAATTAATTTTCGAGAAAAGCGAATTATAGAATAATCGTCTATATTTTTCGACTGTATACATTCTATTTCGATTTTCTCAAAAAACAAGGACTTACAACAGTAAAATTTTTATTTTATTTTTTCACGAATAGAATAACATCCTATAGATCATTATATTTGATTTGTATCGAATCCAATTTCATTTGAATTTAAAAAATTTCCAAACTTTTTTTTCTTTTGAATGAAAAAATTTTATTCTATATTTTTTTCTTCTTATTTTTTCATAAAGAATCATCATCCTCTGATTTCTTGTACGTGTCATTATCATCCATCCGGCTGTGTACATACATGAATGAGAAAGTGCAAAATTTAGAGGCCGGATGACTAATACCAAGCTTCTGACACATGCAGAAGACGATTGCCGTTCGTTGACACAAAGGGTTTATCGAACTTGTAACGCTAGAATTTCTAAAAATATTCTGCTATTTTATTTGATCAAATAATCTTATTCGAACCTGTCCTGAATACTGTTCAACTCGCTATTCGTAATCAAACCACGTGATATTATTCAAAACGAAGAAGGGAAAAAAAATATTTGCATAAAAAATACCTGGCCTATTTTTGTATTTAGTATTGCTAAATTCCATTGTTGATAATCATGTTATCAAGATGTTTGGTCTGTAAATACGTTTCTAATATTAACATAATATTTATTTTTTGATAATATATGAATTATTCAATATCCTGTTTGAAAGTCATTTCTGTTGCACATAGTTATATGTATAAATTGCATTATATATGTTTAATTTTGTGTTTGAAATTTCATTAATATAAATATTTCTTCTATGTTCTACTCTTACTGCTTTTTCGAAAACATTTCTCATTTTTTGTGCACATTTTTATTATTTTGTAATTGCTATATTTATTTCTATTTTTTATTTTTTTTTTTAACTTTAACAGTTAACCGTTAATTTTAATTAGTACAGTATGTATGACATTTTTCGTTAATGGATATAATTTATCTCTTTGTACACTATAAAGAAATATTTTTTTTTATTTCGATTTTTTTGTAAGTTTTTCACATAATTTTAATTTATATTCGCATTTTATATATGTTAAGAATCAGTTACAGTTTATTTGAATGTCACTTTTCAATTGTGAAAAATGAGTATGCAAGTACATGTATGAAAAGAATTGAATAAGAATTTAATATGAACAATATAATTACTAAATATACAGGATATAAATATAGAGTATAATAAATAAATTTAAAATATAAAAGATTCTTAATCGGTATAAAATAGATACATTAAATTAAATTCTTAGATTCCTAATTAAATTAAAAACTGTATTATTATGCATTGCATAAAGTCATTAATAATTATAAATTTTATAATATTCATATTATACATTATTATAATACAATTATTTATTTTTCTTAGTACTAAGACGTCAGAATTATATTTAATTATTAAAAATTAACTTAACTAAAAATTTTATTTAAATATTTCCAAAAATTATAATTATACTTAATCTAATCTAAACTAATATCTTATATTCTAATACTTTTACGAGATTTTTTATTCGAAGAATTACTTACTTTTA